ACGAAAAAGTCCTGAAGGGGGTACAGGAAAAAATATTTTCGCGTGATAAAAAATTTTTTGTGCCATGGCGGGCCCCCCCTTGAAAAATTTCTGCGTACGCCACTGGTTTAATGTCACACATATGAATCCAAAATACCTGGTCAACAACATAAAATATAGTAATACTTCAAGAGCGGAGCACCTACTTTTGTCTAGAACTACGCTTGTCAAATTTCCAGTAAGCAGTCTGGATGAGAAGTTTCTCGAAAATCAATATCTTACAAAGCCAGTATTCTGAAATCTATCTTCAGCGAACGATAAGCATCGTACGTGAGATATAAAAGGCTGTTTTCTGTTGCTTTTATGAAAATTTCTATGAATTTCATGTGTTTTACACTTTGAGGTCTTTTATAGAATGAATTCAATTTGTTGAAGGTAGCTCATGAAGACCTTCGAAACATCTCATTTTGTTCAAAAATGTTTTCTCTATTAGATAAAATTATTTGTAAAACTTTTTTTTTATGGAATTCAGAAGGATGGTTTGGAGAAGTCTTAGGTTTTCAAAGATGTTTCAGCTACTAGAATCTTTTCTCGGATTTGTTTCAGTTATGATACCGGTAAGAAAAAAAATAAAAAAATAGTTTATATCTATTTTTTTCACATTCACTGCACTTGTTACAATTTTGATTGATTTTTATCGATGAATTCAATAGTTTTCTGTTTGAAAATAAATCTATTAATCCAATTAAATCATTGTTTCTATTGTACGTATTTAGATATGTTGACTGCACCACTTCCAAATGGTACGGCTCATATTCCATCTATAATTAATGCTCGTCGTTTGTATGAATCATGTGTTAATGAAACAGCTATAGAATCAGAGTCAATCAATGCACTACTTTCTTTTGTCAATACTGAACTTGGTGGTTGGCCAATTTTACAAGGTTCATCATGGAATGTGTCATCATTTAATTTTTCACGTTTATTACTTAAATTACGTCAATATAGTCATAATATATTATATGGTTGTGGTACATCAGCTGATGATAAAAATTCTTCTGTTTACTTTATTCGAGTAAGTAAATAACGAAATAAGAAAATTTAATCAATGAATTTACTTTTTTTTTTTCTCTTTTACATAGGTTTATCAAAGTGATATTGCTCTTGAACAACGATCAAATTATGATAATGAAAAAATTACTAATGCTTATCAAAATTTTATTCGTGATTTAGCTTCGGCTTTAACAACTGATACAACAATGGTTAATGCAGATGTTACAAGTATTTATAATTTTGAAAAAAATATTTCACGAGTAAATGAAAAAAAAAAAAAAAAATTTTTTTTTTTCTTGATAAATTAAATAAATACAAATATTTAGGCTCATTGGACACCTGCTGAACAACGTGCTAGACAAAATGAAACAGTTCGTACAAGTATTGGTAATCTTTCGCAAACATTTAATACACCAGTAAATATTTATGTTTTTTATTTATGGAATTTTTTCTTTTTTAATTTAGTTTGATTTCACAAATTATATTCGACAAGTTTATGCTTTAGCGAATATTAATTTAAGAGATGATGATATCGTATCAATTAGTGAATTAGATTTTTTACGTAATATAACTTCGATTATTAGTAACACTTTACCACGTGTACTACAAAATTATTTTGTATGGCGTTTTGTAATGAATAGAGTAGCAAATATGCCTAAACGTTATCGTTCTATAAGAGATCCATTTGATGAAGCTTATCGAGGTACTATTGCTCAACGTCCACGTTCAATAACATGTGGAAGCTTTGTTAATAGTAATATGGGTTTTGCTCTTTCGAAAGTTTATATTAACCAATATTTTGATGAAAATGCTAGAAGTCAGGTATCGTATTATTTTTATATAATAAGTCTTTAAGAATTAGAATCAGTTATAAAATATTCCGATTATCAGACATATGAAATTAAGAGTGCAACACCATAAATTGAATTATTTTGGTTTTTTGACGAATATCTTAATTGATAATTAAATATTCATTTTTTAAAACAGTGTACGAAGGGAGAACATTTTTGCATAGTGGCAGATTAATCAGTATAATATCTTCCCAACAGCTAATACTAATTGCGTCTCTAGAGAGAACGCCGGTCTGGCGCAGAGTTTTTGAGCTCTTCATACACACTGACTGACTACACAAGAGTATCTGTATGTCACAACGTAGTTAGCATGCTATCAAACGACTGATTCAAGACAAATATTCGTTAGTGACTTGTCCGGGTTGATTCTCCAACTAGTGATACTGAACTTTGAAAATAGCATCTTGTGGATATGTGCCGAGCAACATAGTCACTCACGAGAAAACATCTCCTTCCGATTTTAATGTCCAGTAGTTTTGAACAACTATTCATATCTCGAAGAGACTTTGTTCAAAACTTTTGAATATTTTTATGGAAACTAGTCTAATTGAGTTCTCTATATACGCAAAGGTTCCAATCGACTATGAATAATACGAAATTTCTGAAAAGCTCGTACCTCTAGAAAAATATTCAATAGTTTAGTAATCATTGAAATCAAAAGAAAACATCTTAAATCTAGATATCCTTCCATGTTCAAAATATATTCACTGTTGAATGTGAAATTCAGGTAGTTAATGCAAGTACATATAATACAACGGATATTCGAAATTTTTTTTGGGAACGTACGCTGATGAGAAAATTAACCTAACTAATAGAAGTCTAAAAGAGTTTGTCTTTGTGGCCCTACGTTATGATCAGTTTACTGGATTTTTGACTCATTTTTGGTTACGTATTGAAAACTAAATAGTAGAGTTTCGATTTGAAATTTTTGTCTATAGATACATCTAATGACTTTTAGAATATTCTGAAAGTTTCAGTCAAAAAGAATGTTTCTTTGTCAAGATATTGAATTTCCGACAATAGTTCTATGTCACAGACATATCACAAAAAACGAATTCATTTGAAAATTCTTTTTCATCTGAAATTTTTTGTCAATATGCTAAAAGACATTAGATCTATTTATAGACTAAATTTTGGATCGAACCTCTATTATTTGATCTTTCGAGAAGTATTCAAAAATGAATCGTAAATCCAATAAATCGGTCATAACTCAGCGTCAACGTCTCATGAGAATGAATCCTTTTAGTTTTTTGTTAGTCTTATTAATACGTATTTATGGGTTGAATACGAACTTAAACAGCCGATGTTCATTGGGATACTTCTCTTGTAAGTTGTGATAATTTCAACCGATTGTCTTAGAAGAAATTGTGTATGTGACTATTGATCGACAAATGACAATATAATCGAGATTGATTTTTTTTTGTGGGAGTTGACATTCTTATTAAGAATTTTAATAATGCAGAATAAAATGAATTGATTTTGTTTTTTTTTATTTTAATTAGTCATTAGAAATGATAAATAATATTCGAAGTACATTTATTGAAATGTTAAAAAATTCGACTTGGATGGATGATACTTCAAAAAATAGATCAGTAGAAAAAGTAAATTGAAAAAGCAAATGAATCTCTCTTTTTTTTTTTCAAATGTTTAATTATACTTTAAAGGCATTAGCAATCGATGAAAAAATTGGTTATCCAGATTATTTAGGTAGTACTAACACAACAACACTCGACAAAATGTATCAAGATGTAAGAAATAATTATATATTCTATTAAAAATTATTTATTCTTCATATATTTTAGTATGTTTTCAGTGACTCGTATCTAAGTAATACTTTCAAGTTATTACAAATTAAATCCAACGAAAGTCTTCGAATACTTCGTGATCCTATTGATCGTAAAGATTGGGGCACTAGTCCACCAACTATAGTCAATGCTTTTTACAGTCCACCAAGAAATCAAATCAGTAAAAAGAATAGTTTTCTTCTTTTTTTTTTTACACACTATTGTTTTAATGTAAATATTCACAATCGAGATTCAAACAGATAGAATTTTCGTAGACTTAATTTACTCATGACAAGTTATGAATGCATTAAGTCTGCTTGTATCTATCATACATTTTTCTCATAGTGATCTGTATATTATTTAAAATGACAACAGAACATTCTATTGCTAGAGAATGCAAGAAAGTCATGTAAATTGAAATGAGATAATCAGACACAACATTTATTTAATAGAATATCCTATGTCATTGTTAAAGAAAGACAATAGATGATTAAAAAATAGTGAGCAGTAATCTAGCAAAACGAATAAAACAACAAAATAAATAAATGATTCATGAACAATCTAAACTTAAAATATTATTAATTGGGTCTAGGACAGTTGCTCGCTAGCAGACATGTACATGATAGAGTATGGTAAGGGTCAGAAAATTTCTATTGGTCAGAGTTAGAGCCCATCGGATTAATCTCGGATCTCACGGATTCTATTCAGGGTGTTAGAGTATGAAAAACTCTTTCCCTGCACACCTCTACTCCCTAGGATGACCTCTCATCTGGACACTTGCTCTTGAATGGTGTGGATCTTCTCTTCACTCACATCGTAGTAGTTCATGCAATGCATATATATTTTCTAGATTATTCAAATGTCCAAAGATTTGATATAGTAACTGACACAAATTGCTTTTTGTAAGTTCATTCTGTTAGCCTATGCGGGTTCTTTATATATGTGTATTTCGTTATATACAATTAGAGGTGTAAGCCATCCAGCTGCGCCGCCGTCGCCGCCGATTTTTTTCCAAAACCAGCCGCCGCCGCCACGGAATCGGAGATAGTTTTACGAAATTTTTAGCCGCCGCCGCTGTGGAAAAGTTAGTTCAGCCGTTGCGCCGCCGCCACGAACGAAAAATTTTGATAATCGTACGGTGCGCGGCCGCCACTAACATTTTTAGGAGCAAAAATGTTTTTTTTTTGTTTTTTTTGGTTGTCAAAGCCGCCGCCGGTGCAGAAAAACATAAAGTATAGTAGCCGCCGTCGCTATGGAAAAAATTTTTACAATTAAAGCCGCTGCCGCCGGTGTAGAAAAGCATAGAGTCTAGTAGGTGCCGCCGCCATGGAAAAAAAATTGAACCATTAAAACAGCCGCTGCCGTTTGACCCTTCGGCTTACACCTCTATATACAATATTCCAACAATTGAATAAATCAGTTTATGATGATTATTTTTCATAAGGAATTAATTTATTTCGTTATTTTATTCAAAATTTTTGTACAAATGTGCATAATGATCAAGTGTTCGGTTTTTGAAAGTTTAAAAAAAAAATCATAGTCAGGTCTTGATGGTTTGTTTGAATCTCTGATTGACAAATTCTTCTCGATTGTGACTATATTATATACTTCTATGTTTTTAGGTTTTCCAGCTGGTATTCTTCAAATGCCATTTTTCAATAGAGATGCACCGAAGTAAGTTTCTTCATATCTATTTCGATCAAAAAAAAAAAGAAACAACTTTATTATTATTTAGATATTTAAATTATGGTGGTAAGTTTCAATGGCATGAAATAAATCTTGTAGAATATAAAATGAAATTTGAGGTATCGGAGCGGTTATCGGTCATGAAATCACTCATGGTTTTGATGATAGTGGTCGTCAGTATGACAAAGATGGAAATCGTGTATCTTGGTGGACTCCTGAAACGATTGATCAATTTATTCAGCGCAAGACATGTATAGTAAATCAATATAGTAATTTTGTTGTAGCCCAAATCAATCAAACGGTAATGATTTGAAAAAAAGTTTGTTTTATATATTTCAATTTTTATTAAATTTCAGGTTAATGGAAATCAAACTCAAGGTGAAAATATTGCTGATAATGGTGGAATAAAAGAATCATTTTATGTAAGTTTTATTGTAAATTTATTCAGAAGAAAAAAAAAAAAACAACAACAACAAATGAACAAAAAGGAATTGATCTAATCTTGAGATAAAAATTATTTCCCTATAGGCATATAAAAAATTATTATTAACAAAAAATGATAAAAGTTTACCTGGTTTACAAGATTATTCGAATGAACAACTTTTTTTTATATGGAATGCTCGAATTCGTTGTTTTTGGGAATATAATGACTATCTAGCCTATTTGAAACGATTGATTGAAAAACAATCAAATGGTCATCCAATCGATGATTTTCGGTAGACAAAAAAAAAAGTTTTTCTTTTTTTTTTTAAATAGCTTTTGTCTGCGTGTTATGTGTTCCCTTTGTTTATGATTTTATACACCTTTATTTCCCTTGTTGCATGTGCATACACGTATATATGTTTATAGGCTTATCAAAAATGGGCTGGAATGCCTGGTAATATTGATAGAAGATTACCTGGTCTAAGTGAATATTCAGCTGAACAATTGTTTTTTATTAATTATGGACAAATTTGGTGTTCAAAAATGACTGATGCAAATGCGTTGAATAGAGTTTTAACAGGTGTTCATTCACCGGGAGAATTCAGGTATATTCTTTTTTTTTTTTTCGATTAAAATTAAGAAAAGGATTGATAATCAGATTATCTTCAATTAAACGTTCCGATTATTTCAATAGGATAGAAAAAAGAATTATTTGTAAATCTTAAAAAGAAGTTAATTCTTTGAATGCGACCTAAAGTGAAGGCAAAAATTTTGGAAACGAAGTATTTTTGACTTTTTTCCTTAGCTGTAATTGTTAGAACAAATCAGAGAGAAGATTCGAGTAGTTGAAACAATTTGCTATCAGAAATAGTATGTATCCAGTTTTCATTAACAGGTTTAGATGAAAGGTATTTTATTGCACAAATATTGCCTTTTGCTGAAGATAGATCACGGAGAGTTTAGAGATGTCTTAATTTGTTGATAAATTTTTGCTCTATCAGGCAAAAAGTTTTCGATAAAATCTAGGAAATTTGTTTTTAAGGAGATCTTGGTTTTTCAAAAACTTTTTACCCAAAGCTGTTAGTGGGCATTCGATAAGGGCTTCTTTTGATAGAGCATTATTTCAGCTTCTCAACTCTTTTCTCCGAATTATTCTAGATGTTACCGGTAAAGAAAAAGGTCAAAAGTATTTTGTTTCTAAACCTCTGACCTATATCTTACATGAATATATCATTGTTAACACGATATCAGGTAAATCAATCCGTTAGTTATAAAATCTGAAGAACACATATGTACTTATGTTTATCTATTTCTATTACTCAACAGAATTGCACTTCGGTATCGAAGAGATTGAAAAACTTCTATTTTTTTTTTGCTGTTTAAACTTTACTCGTAATATGCATGTTGGATTTGTTGAACAGTTCTTTCTGAATAACGATTTAGTATACATTTCCATATTGAAATCTCGTCGGCGGTTCTCCATCAAGATCTGTTAAAAATGAATGTTGTGTAATTCCGTTTTAGTGTAATATATGAATGTCTGCTTCAGTTGCTTTATGCACGTTCTTATTGTTTGTCTTTTTGTTTTTTCTTAAACCAAATATATATATTTTTTTTGTTCTACTTTCTAGAGTACGTGGTCCAACATCGAATTTTGATGAATTCGATCGAGTATTTAATTGTAGGCCAGGACAAGGCAATAGTCAATTAAATAAATGTACTGTTTGGTAATTAACAATGATAACAACAACAAAAAAATAAAATTTATTCTGATCTAATGTGACTTTTACATAAGAACACAACATATTTTTTTTGTCTATGAAAGAATATTTTTCTTTTACTTTCTTTTTTTTGTTTGCTATGCCCATGTAAGTATAGTAAACAGCGAAGAATAATATAAGAAATCGACAGATCGTTTACGAAATTAACCAAGCGTTCGGTAATCTATCGGTATTAAGTAAAAGGCAACATATGGCAAGGTTGAAATAGATTGGGACTAGAGATGAGCGATACCAGCTTCAAGAAGATTCATACTGCCGATTCCGATTCTTATAAACAAAAGAATTTGGAATCGGAAATATTTTCATACAAGACAATGCACTTGTTTATTTATCTTTTACGAAATAGTCAAAATAATCAGTAATTTAGAAGTATATATAAATCATAATTTTTCTAAAGAACAAAAGAGCACACTTCTAGCTCTGTTTAGCATAAGCTATGTTGAATTCAATGATCGACATGAGTAACTTATGATTCCCTTTTAATCCCGGAGGGAGCGATTCCAAATCGAATTCGAAATCGGAATCCATATCAGTGATTGTGATTCCGTTTTTTTTTCAGTTTTCTGAAACTAAAATTCGTTGATCTGATATTCAATACCCATCATGAATATCTTTGCATAATCTTGATTGATTACATCGATGCAACAGAAACTCGGAACAGAGTCGGGAGCTTGTTTTACCATGTGAAATAAAGCTCAGTTAAAAGACGCTTGCTTGCATCAATGTTTTTTGTGCATTGTGCTAATGTTGAGTTGATTAACAATGAGAAGCAAACATTGTATTTCTGTTTGAAAACCAATCAAGAGAAAACAAAAAACGACAAAAAGATTAAAAGACAACGTTGTTGGAAAAACAGCACAATTAAAACACTTGTACAATATCGGCAGTAAGCAGCCAGAAATGTGGGTGAAGAGAGGTCATAAACATCCACCAACACTGGCACTCACACCAATATAATGAAGTCCAGTATAAATAGTATCAGTTTACAAGTCGTCTATGTCACCAAAGCAATATACAAATTGTACTCGATTTTCTTTTATAGCATGCGCCAAATGTTGTGCTCCTTTGATCACCGAGTTCATTGTGATAGAGGTTCAGTATCTATAGTGTCTGTTTTGAACATGCAATGAATGATAGATAGAGAAGGTGGACAAAGTACTTTGTTTTGTTCGAGAGCGCTTGCAAGAGGTTGTGCTCCTTGATGACCGATTAGATTGTAGCCTAGGTCCAGTGTGGGTAATATCTGTTTTCAATGTGGAATGAATGGTAGATAGAGAAGATGACGACATTACTTTATTTTGTTCGAGAGTTTTGCCAAGATGATGTGCTCCTGCATCACCAATTCTATTGTGATAGAGTTTCAGTGTTGTTAGTATCTTTTTTGAGCAGACAATGAATGATAGATAGAGAAAATATGCATATTACTTTGTTTTATTTGAGAGCTTTAGCAAGATATTTTGCTCCTTTATGACCAATTTGATTCTCACAATGGAACGGTTTGTATTGTTTGCCAAAAAGATTGACCACGTTCGGGTAAAATGATCACTTTCGCCGAGAAATCAACAAATTTTAAATATGAGCTGCCCATCGCGTGCTTGGACAAAGATATTCAATTTTTAAGTCATGCACGACCTGTTAGTAGGTAAAAGGGTGTGAGTGTGGGTGTGGATGTGGGTATGGGTGTAGATGTGAGTGTGAATCTTCTCTTGAATAAACCCACACCCACACTCTATGGCCTCTTAAGTCTATGTTATTACAGATCCATGACAACATTTATTATAAATTGAGGTTGACAAGTGAAATTTGTCCCGAACAATATGGGGCTGCAGATCTCGATAATTGGACATTTTTTTGTGGTAGTCAATCAACTCTGATATGGTGGTGGTTCCATAGAATGGACCACTAGTAACCGTTTATAGTCACCCATACCCAATCGAACTATTTGCTTCCAGATTATTTTTCCCTTTTGCTCGGTGTTGATCTTGCTTGTCGACACCTTATCCTCATGGACATCCACCCTCATGGTCCTAGGTCCGAAATGTCCAGCATTCCAAGCCTCAGGATACCCAAGACGATTCATGCCAGTGTTGCGCAATTTTTGACGCGTTATTTCGTGAGAAATCGGTGAAAGAAATCCAGACTGGCCGGCAAGAAAAGTACCACTAAATAGTTGGTGTGGATCGTAGTGACCGAGAATGGCGTTAGCGTCAGAGATGAAGTTCATCGAGTCTAGTGCAGTAACGGAGTCAGGTAAGCCTTGAGGTAGAGAAGTTTCAAATCCCTTTCTAAGTTCAAGGCCATCTTTGAGCTGGACGATTGGCTCTGTCATTTTGTATGTTGTTGCTGAAGAGCGCAATTTGAAGGTAAGTTTATGTAACCAAATAGAATGAATGAAGAAATGAATGCAGGCAACAGTCAGAAAAGAGTGTATATTTGTCAAAACACAAGAGTCAAGATCACGTGCACAAACGAGAAATGGGGGAGCCAGAATGGTAAAACTACTTGATGCAACGAGGACGAGATAAAAAACAAAAGCAATGAACGACAAAAAGAGAAAGAAAACAACGATACCTATTTTTCACAGCTTCTTGCTATGACACACCGCGCTCATATGGGTTATTTTTTCTTCAACAGATCAAATCGATAGTAGTCATCGCTAGTCGATCTAAACCATTCAGAATAGCTGGAAATATGTGTTTCTCATAGCTTTCAATCTTACTACGCGCTGCAAAAAATATCACAATTACATCCAATATTAGCTTTGAACTTTTATATCGTTCTGTGACTTGTTTCGCATCGAAAGCTTTATTCTAAATCCTGAAAATATGAGATTTTTAAATGAAGTTTTTCTGTAGATTCTTTCCTATTGGCTTCTATTTCAAGCTTCTCGGCAATGACTTCATTGTATTTTCGTCACGAGAGTGTCAATGTGGTGTGTCTAAAGTAACCGTGACGCGTTTGACTTTGCTTAAAGAGACCACCCTTTCCGACCCAAAATTTTCAGTTTTTCACGTTTTTATCTTTGATAGAAGATTTAAATGAGGTGTGTGGGTGTGAGTGTCAGCCGCCTTTATAGTACATGCACATGCACATCCGACACGTACACTCTCATTGATATTAACACTTTGACAGCGAACTTGTTTTGATAACAAATAAAGAAAAAATGTATTATTAACATGGTACACTTAGAAAATGATGAGCAGTCCTAATTCTTGCACTTAAACTTGTTTTAAAGATGCAATGCTGTTATCAATAATATCTATGCCAGAACACAACAGATATCGAACGGGCCTGTTTTATTATAGTTCCACTTCACCCTTAAACATTTTTTGAAACCGTACATTTACGGGCTTCACCGTCACAGAGTTAAGGAAAGATTTTGGTATCATATAAGATACGATGTATGTTAGAATATAAGAGATTATATCTCGTCTTCTTATTATTATTCTTTTCTTCTAAATTTCGTTCTCTATCATACATGGATGATATATATATATTCTTTTTTTCCTTTCCTGCGTTCATAGTATTTTCCCGCTCGTTTTTTTCCCAACCGCATTTATATATATATAACCGTGATTTTGGAAATAAAGGGGAGATTAGGCAGCGAACATCTAACTGGTGCACTTAGGGATGCAACAGTGACGATAACCGTAGGTACGGTTATCGGTTCGGACTGGTGAAACGGTGACGGTATGCCGGTGAATGATCGTCACCATTGCATCACCATATGGATCTCAACACGACTGTTTTTTCTTTTATGCTCAAACTTGTTATATTTTCTCGGCTAAGTTATCTAAAGTAATAGAAAATGCAGCAGCTGTTTGTTGTTTTTTTACGTCAAGTTATAAGAAATCAATTTCTTCTAAAATTGAATTAGAATATGCTATGACAAGCAACATACCTATCATTCTATGTATAATTGGTGATGAATATGATAAGAAATGGAAACCCTCTGGTTGGTTGGCAATTATAACCAGAGCGCTTCAATGTATAAACTTTTAAGATGACTCTGACTCAAACGTTCGATTGAAAGCAAGAGAACTTATTGCAAGGGGGAAACGGTGGACTTGAAGTAGAAAAGTACACCAAAGTACGTCAAAGTAGACTACTTGAAGTAGCTCAAAGTACCACCCAAGTAGCCCAAAGTAGGAAAAAGTAGCTTCAAGTAACCTGAAGTAACTTCAGGTAAATTTGAAGTTGAAAAGTACTTAAAAGTATGCTACTTCAAGTAGTTCAAAGTAACTTAAAGTAGCTTAAAGTAGCTCAAAGTAGCTTCAAGTCTAAAAGTCCGCCGTTTCCCCCTTGACTTATTGACAGAATAAAAATTCAACGATTTGGAACCCAAATGTCTCAAAATAACGACGATTATCCTCGTGAAGCATTTTTTCCTTTACTACCTATAACAAGCACTCAAAGTCTCAATGAAATTTTTCAAGCTAAACTTGAATTTCATTCAATGAAAGATTTCAAAGTAAATCATTAAAATCTATATAAAATAAACTAAAAAAAACAAGATAAATCTTTTGTTTTTTATATAGAATTATTTTCTTGAGCATGTCAAATTAACAGAAAAAAATCGAAGATAATGCAAATGTATTATTAACCGATGGTCATCTTTATGAATTAAATCAATTCGATTAGCCTTATCTTGAAACAATTTGTATTCGTGCATGTTCTCATTTAACACCATTTGCTATGAATTATATTGAACAAATTTCTAAAAAGCAAATTGATCGACAAATAAATGCTGTAAGATTTCTAAACAAACATTTTAATCTTTAGATATATTAGCTATGAAAATTCTAGAACATCTATTAATTAGTAAATTCATTTTTTAGAGTGTCAAATTAATGCTTCACTTTCATAATACAGTAGAAAATAAAAACGATTCAATTGATAATACTATTGCCCAACTTGACCCATTCTTTGGAAAAGTAAAATTTTTCTATGGTTTTCTTTTTCAATTACTCTATTACAATATCACATTTGTATATTGAAGAGTAAGAAAATATCAATAATAAAAGTCTTAATTTATCATGCTAATACTCAAAATGATTCTATGTTATCATCAAAACATATGATTATAAATCAAATACAAAAATCAAAAGAAAATTCTTCTATGTTACTTAATTATTTATCATCGACATATGATGAATGTCAAGTAACACTTTTTGAATGTGTCAGTATAAGTTCAATGCTAAATTTTTTAACGAACGAAAAATGAAAAGAAGATTTGTTTTATTTGTGATTCAAGTTCATACTATTCAAAGAATTGTATACAGCATTTCATCCACAAATAATCTATATGATTGTTTTGAATGTTGACGATCTACTTAAATGTTTGTCTTTTTCACTTGATTGTACTGCATCATATTCAATTTTGGTAAATAAGATACACAAAAACAAAAACGACAAGAATATTTATTTGAATAATTTTAGCAAAAACAACAAATTCCATTAATTCTTAATAACAACGAATCTGATAAACAATTTTTATCTAATATACATTTACAATTGGAATGTCTTTCCCAGTCAGCTGATGAAATTTATTCACAATTTATTACTGAAAAACCAAAAAATATGTAACTTTAAATAAATATTCAATTTTTGTAAAGATCTTTGAATTTGAATTCTTTTTTCAGAGCAGAGAATGATGATTTTCGTTGCAATCATTATCTTACTAGTCTATTACGTGTTTAAACAAAATGTACGATGCTAAAAAAGAAATTAAGTAATGATCAATGTTTGATATTTCGACAAAATGTAAGATTATTCAATTGTTAACATAATTTAATAATATATATTTTACCATAGGATTCATCATTAATAATAAATGACCTAATAAAAGATTCAATCAAGCATTGCAAATCTTTATATACGTTTGACAGTATTAATAGTATTACAAAAATTGAAGAAAAAAACAAAGTATTCGAAACCAATGAATCAATAATGAAACTTGTTAGTGAATTAACAAGTAACGCAAAAGAACAAAATTTAGAACCAGCAACAGAAAGTTCAACAAAAATAACACAAATTTATTATGCACATAAATTAGGTAATATAAATAATCAAAATTTTTACCAATCTGTTTTTTCTCTGATACTAACAAACAATTCCTATCATTTATTTTTTTTTTATGGAAAGGGCATTGATAATAATTACGACGTTGAATCTCCAATATAACTTAGTCAAGAATATTTTACAAAAGATGAAGTACCATAGAAGACGTTTATTTTTTCGTTTTTCGTTCTATTTTCTTAGACATATCGATCAATAACTCTCATGCAACTTGTGTATCAGAGATGTCCATCGCGGCTGGAAATCTGCCGCTGCCGTGCCGCGAAGATTGGAGAGAAAATCTACCGCGCCGCGATGCTTTTTCAAAAAGCCTTGCCGCTAACCGCTACCGCGGCAGTGGTAGCGCCGCGATGGACATCTCTGTTTTGTATGAACAAAAAAAGCTAGAAATAAAAAATCTTTGCATTTTGTAATTGCATACAATAGATAATAATCTATCATGAGATTTGTCTAGAAGAAACTTCTAGAAAAAATTAAAAAATTTTGTCAAAAGAATTTACATTTATTCTTCTAGTTTTCAACTTTACACAAAAATTTAATAGAGTTATTATTATAGAAAAGGAAAATAAAGATAGAATTGTTTTGGATATACAATTTCTTCTCCAATCAACAGTTTCTTCAATTGAACACAATTGATTCGTGTTAAATCACTTGTGAAATTGTTTGTTACGATTACCAATTGTTCGTAATTTATTTCAAGTGATGAGAAACAAGGAACAATGTGAGTTCGTGTGACGTAATAATTGATGAACATAATCAATATGTGCATTAGTGAGAGTAATTGTCATTAACCGTGGAAAGTAAATGATTGAACTTTGATTGCCATTCACTGGTTCAATTTCAGCTTTATGTTATTGTAGTGTCATATTGTCAATAGTTAAATATTTGAGTAATGGAAAAGCGCGAGCAATCCAATTGAAATAAACATGTTCAAATGGACGTACATTAAATAACTTTATGTTCATAACAAGATGAAACGAACTGCCGAAAAAGCTGTTCGTGACACCATAAATATATTCGATTTTAAATGGAACTGAATAAATATGGCATTGACCGGCTTTGTCTGAAAAATAATCAACATGACAACTGACTTAACCATATTTCCAATGACTAAACGTATTTTGAACATCATCAGCTAACGCATGATGATATGAATGTAAGAGTGGCATAATTGTGCGAATATGAAATACGAATGTAGTTAATTGTGATAGATGACTCAGAATTTCTTTCTCAAGATGAATGCCATCAATAAATCTCATTCGAATTATATTAAGACAGAGAGTAAGATTTTTTAGATTTGGCATATGATGAAGAAGTAATAGTACTTGACTATCATATCCACGTGCAACACCGGTGGTTATTGAAAATACAGTCAGATTAGGTATTGTTTTCTATTAAAAAAAACAGTATCATCATTAAGATAATTCATTTGAAATATCAATATCCTAATAAATGAAAACTATCTTACAAGGAAAGTATCTTAACTATTTCCGAGCTTTCGATTCTATCTTTTGACTATGAATAGATCTCAGTGAGACTAATAAAACACTAAAAATATTCGTGAACATAAAGTACCATTGATGAGTTGCGGTGGTCTGCATATTACAAAAAAAATGATTTTTTCAGTTATTTTTTTGTAATTTTAGTCAGGATCACAACTAATCGAATGATATATTGTTTTTCGCAGATGTACTAAATATTATTCAAGTTTAAATATTTGCATGGATATCGAGCTAGCTATTATATTTCACTTATATTGCTATAAGAATGATGTATATGGCTACTTCCATGGTACTTGTGACAAAAAAACACAACATTCACCAAATCGTTTGAAACTTTCAGGGCTTGTGTAATAGTCACTTCTAAGACTTTTTTGCTCTTGGACAAAATTTATACGA